GCAAGTCTTAATGTTTTGCCCAGACAGAACTGGACCCGCCAAACCTTTGGGAGTTGGGTTGTTTGTGGGTTTTTTTTTTTTCTCATTTCCTTTTGCTTTTACATTTTTTACTGCCCTGTGTTTATTTCAGCCCAGTCACTGCTGGTTCTGCCCATTTTAGTGCAGCTTCCTTGGTAATTTGCAGCAGCTGGCTTGTGGTTCCTGCCCGCCTCCATTCCCCATAGGCTGCTTTTTAATCCTCTGTAGAATATGAAATTTCATGGAACTGGACCTAAGCTACCAATTATTTTTTTAGTCTCCTCCCCCCCCCCATTATTTCCTTTAGTAGGTTTGGGTTTGGGAGGGCATGTGGGAGCGCTGGAGAAGCGGTCCCCTTTGTCAGCTGGAAACCGTTCAGTCCTATTACGTGTTCAACCGATCCAGTGACCGTGTGTATTGGCAGATCCTGATAATGACGTGAGTTGTCGTCGCCTTGTTTGTGAGAGACCCGAAATCCCGGGCTCCAGGCATTGGAACCTCTTTTTGTGTGTCTTGCTGGGAAAGGGAGGGGCAGGAGAAGCGAGAGGGTCCGACACTTCCCTGGGGAGGGGATGGAGAGAGCAAGACACGGCCCTTTGTGTTAATCCCACCGTTCTGTGCGTGCAAGCACCATCCTGTCACCTCTCACCAGTGGAGTGCATCAGAGCATTTACACAGGCAAAGAGCACAAGCCCAGGCGACCCAGAGCGGAGCTGGGCCGGCTCTCTTTGGAAGCAGGGTACTGCGAGGAAGGGGAGGGGAGTACACATGGCTTCAGAGGTTGGGTGTATCTATAATTTCTGCTATCCTGCAAATGTTAAGAGTCACTAGAATATTGTACTTTCCGCTACTTCAGGACGTTCTAATGAACCAATGTGGCAAGACTACTGGACTTAATTTAATGGTACTATATATTAATACTCCTTATTATATCACGCTTGCACTAAAGACGGGGAGTGAGCAGCCCTCTTTCGAGTGCATTGAGTTACGAATAAAGGTGGTGGAAGGGTATCTAATTGTATTATCACATGTATTCCGAATGTTAAGAATCCAAGCTACGTTGAAATCAGCAATCCAGGGTTGGTAATGTTGGAGGACACATTCATTTTTACCTTGTGGATGCATAGTGCTGTAGGGGTCACTGTTGTATACAGTCTGTTTTCTATTTGTTAATAAAAAAAAAAAATCTACAGCATCATTGCATAATTCTTGATGTTAATAAATTTGAATAATTGGGTTTCATACAAGCTGGCTTTCCTGTCTGTTTCTTCAGCAGTAAGCAGAGGCCGCAGAGTTCTTTGCAGAAAGCGTGGGGCACTTGTGGCTGGGATGTGCCTGCAGGAAATGACTTCCCTGCCACAGGCTGAGGAGCATGCCCATTGCCAAAGACCCTGTGCCTGCAGGGAGCTTGGAAACTCCTCTGTGACAACTCCCTTTATGCATGCATGTGTTCACCTCCTGCCCATTTGCAGCTGTACTGGGGTGCACTGACCTGGTGAAGGACCTGGCTGGACTTGCTTGTGGGTTTGCAGGAAGAGAGGGACCAGTGGTGATGGCTTTGGTGGCAATATAGGTCATTGCCAGCCTCCCAGGATGCTGCAGTAACACAGGCACCTTCTTTCTCCTTGTCCAGGAATACCTGGGCCTTCCTTCCACGTCTGATGTCTTTTCCTTGGATTGGTTGTAAAGGGTTTGGGCCAAGAACAAGATGAGGGAACAAACACTCCGAATTCACTGCCCCTGAAGGCTCTGCTTCTCCACCTACCACATGTGTAAGGCACAGAGTGACCTTTCTGGGTGGTCATTCAGCTTGTCTGTGGACCAAGTAGAAGCAGGAGGAGGTAGAGAGAGGGAGAATGAGCACCTCAGCATGGAATACATGAGGAATAACAAAAGGGAAAAAAATGAGACTAAGCATGCAGAGAGGGCGAACAGGGATGCTAACCTGATCTGGCACTGCCAGGCCTGGGCTGCACTGCTCAGTTGTTCCTGGCTAGAAAGGATTTACTACAGCTGTTTTGAGGGTTTTTTGCTCCATCTTTTTTGGTATCATTTTGAGAAGCTTCCCTCTCTCTCTGGTATTCAGCCTGGCTTCACAGTGTCACACTGTGCTCCAGACCTGAAGGGAATGGCTTCCTTGGGAAGGGTGGACAGGCCACGGGGCCCTGGCCCACATGGTTCTGCCCCTTGCACGGCCTTTCCCTTGCACAGCTGTGCTGTTTGCACCAAAGATGGTGCTCTAAGACAGTGTTTGGCCTCTTCCCTTTGGAGTCTCAGACAGAGACTGTATTTGCACTGACCAGTGGAGCTGGCTGGGTAGCTACTGCTGGCTTTTTTTTTTCCTATCCTGGTGAAAATTTTCCACTCCTCAGTCGTACCAGGTAGCCCCCAATGCAGCCTTAGATAAGCAGCTTTGTAAAGGGCACAGTTTGGCAGGTGGGACAGCAGCTAAATGGCAGCTAGTCAAAGGTGAATTCCTGGGTACTGAGGTGCTTCTCTGCTCTTTCTATTTTTCATATTTTTATTCATTCCACTGATATCTGTAGCAAGAGCTCTGTAGGCAGTGCCTAGGCTTGGCTAGCCTCCTATAATGATGCTAACTCATAGGATCATGGAATGGTTTGGGTTAGAATGGACCTTTAAAGATCAGCTACTCCGAATATAATGTTGCCCAAGCGCCAGCCCTTCGAGATTTTGTTCCTTTAAATTTTGGTTTTCAAGGGCAAAATAGTCATTAAGTAAGGAAAAGAAACAGCTGTAGCACTGAACAAATCTGAGCGGACTCTGCACAGTATCTTGGCAACTCCTTCCCCCACAGTCCTGGCATTTCTCGTCCTCAGCATCGTTGCCATTTTCATTTGTAACATTTCCTAGTTGAGAGTGACTCCTTTTTTTTTTTTTTTTCTTTATCCTTTTTTTGCTTGTTCTGACCTGGTTCATTTCTGAGAGCAGGAATAATTCTGATCCTTCCAATTAAAAGCTCGTTGTTGCCCTTTTGCCAGTTATAATAAGCACTCCCAGCCCACAGTAACAATTACAGGTTATCGAGCTCCCCTGCCTACGCATTTCTGTTCACAGGAACATTTTAGCACTCATTATCATAAAAAGGTGGGCTCCTGTCTGCTGTGGGCAGCCGGTTGGGGGAAGTGATTCTGCCCCTCTGTTCTGCTCTCTTGAGACCCCACCTGGAACACTGGAGCAAGTCCAGAGGAGGTCATGAAGATGCTCAGAGGGCTGGAGCACCTCTCCTGTGAAGGCAGGCTGAGAGAGCTGGGGTTGTTCAGCCTGGAGAAGGCTCCAAAGAGACTTTACAGAAACCTGCAGTGCCTAAAGGGGGCTACAAGAGAATTGGAGCAGAATTTTTCACAAGGGTCTGTAGTGACAGGAAATGGGGAGATGGCCTTAAAATGAAAGAGAGCAGGGCAAGATTAGACATAAGGAAGAAATTCTTTACTGTGAGGGTGATGAGGCGCTGGAACAGGTTTCCCAGAGAAGTTTTGGATGCCCCATCCCTGGAAGTGTTCAAGGCCAGGTTGGATGCAACTTTGAGCAATCTGGTCAAGTGGAAGGTGTCCTTGCCCATGGCAGGGAGTTGGAACGAGATGATGTTTAAGGTCCCTTCTAACCCAAACCATTCTGTGATTCTGTAATATTTGAAAGTTAGCCTTTCTTGATTAAAGGATGGCCAGTGCAGCTGCCAAGCCACAAAGAAGGCCAGAAACGTAAAGTTTGTCTCAAAATTGCTATCTGACATTTGTAGGAGGCTCTGTTTTAATCCTCCTCTTGTTTTAACCCACTCTGGGGTTCTGGTTTGTATACCTGGCAATTCAGATGAGCAACTGAGAGGCAGCAGACCAGGGAAAACCTGTACTGGAGTGGTGTTTGTTAGGACTTTCAGGACTGCTGCATGCCCACAGCATGACACTGAAGGAAATGCGTATCAGGAGAAACATACAGTGAAATTAAGGTTTTATTTAGGCGTGAAGGACCAAGTACGCTCTCTGAGGATGGCTGCGAGCTCTTTCAGGTGGGTGCTGCTTACTTTTAAGGTTGCCTGTTGACACACATTTAAAATGCATTTAGCACACCACAATCGGTGGATCTGTGAAAATCGCAGCCAGTCCCATCCACGGAGAGGTCAGTGTCCCTAGACAGGTTCTGTCAAGCACTCATCCTTGTTCACACTGAAAAGCATTTGCTGCTAAGGCTGTACTGTCATGTCCCAGTCCTTCACACATTGGTGGTGGATTATCAGCAACACCCGCTGGCCACGGCGGCGCTTTTTCATGTTTCTGGATGACCGGCCAAAAGTTCTGGCGTGGGCCAGGCCTGGCTCCAGCCCAGCCCCAGCCTGAATCCACTGCCTGACGTTTGCACAGTATCGAATTCTCCTCTGGCTTTGCTTACACACGGAAATTGTAGGTGTATAATTAGCCCGGTTCATGCGTTCGGTTGGCACACGCCTATTGTGTGTCACCGCTCGGCGGCCGAGACCCGTCAGCTCAGGGCAGCGCCCACTGCCACGGGATCCGTGCCCAGCGCTCCACACCCCGCGGGACCGGGCTCGGCTGCACCCGGCGGGATTCCCTAGGGCCGGGATCCGTGTGGGACCCGAGTGGGACCCGTGAGGGACCCGTGTAGGACCCGTGAGGGATCCGTGAGGGATCCGTGAGGGATCCGTGTGGGACCCGTGAGGGACCCGTGAGGGATCCGTGAGGGACCCGTGAGGGACGCGGCCGCCTCCCCTCCCTGCGCACGGCCCGAGGCTGCCCCGGGCCGGCCTCCCGCTAGAGCGCCCCCTATCGACTGCTCGCGGCGCGGCCCGGCCGTCCCCCCGCCCTGCCTAGCAACCGCCCCGCGCCCGGCCTCCTGATTCGCTGGCCCGCCCCGGCCGTCCGTCGAATTCCTATTGGCTGTGAAGCGGGAGGGGGCAGCGATTGGCCGCGGAGGCGGAGGAGAAGGGGGCGGGGCGGCAGGGCGGGGCCCGGGCGGAGCGGAACGGCCGCGGTGGCGTCGGCGAGCCGCAGGACTCATTGGGCGCGTGCCGCGGAGGGATACGGCGGCCGGGCGTCGTCGGCGCGGACAGACGGCGAGGAGCGGGACTCGCTTTCGACGTGAGCGCGGCGGGCGGGGACTCGGTGCTGCCGCGCCGGGCCGGGCCGGGCCGGGCCGGGCGGGCGCGGGGGGAGCCGTGAGTCGGTGGCGTTCTCGCCGTGAGGGGGAAGAGAGAGCCGGGGGTGCGCGAGGGGGGGGCCTGACGGGCACGCGCGCTCCGCCAATGAGGAGGCAGGGTTGGTGCGGACCCCGCGGCCATTGGCCGGCGGGCGGAGGGGGCGGGGCGAGCGGCGGGTCCCGCCCCCTTCCCCCCCGACACCCCCCGCCTCCTCCGCGCAGGGCCGGCCCGGCATCATGGCCTCGGAGCTGGAGAGCCTCAACCCCGGGCAGCGCATCATGACCTTCCGCCCCACCATGGAGCAGTTCCGCGACTTCAGCCGCTACATCGCCTACGTGGAGTCGCAGGGCGCCCACCGCGCCGGGCTGGCCAAGGTGCGACCCTCCCTCTTCCCCCCGGGCGGAGGCCGCGCCGCCGGCCCCGGGCCGCGCACCGGCCGCCTCCGCCCTTTGTTTACGCCGCGGCGCCGGTGGGGCGGGCGCGCCCCGCCCGCGGCTCGGCCCGAGTTCCCCGAGTTTGACGCTGTCCCCTGCCGCGGCCGCCGCTCCCGGGCCGTGTGTCCCCGCAGATCGTGCCGCCCAAGGAGTGGAAGCCGCGGCAGTGCTACGATGACATCGACGAGCTCGTCATCCCCGCGCCCATCCAGCAGGTGGTGACGGGGCAGTCCGGGCTCTTCACGCAGTACAACATCCAGAAGAAAGCCATGACGGTCCGCGAGTTCCGCAGGATCGCCAACAGCGACAAGTACGTCCAGTCCCTGGCGCATAGAGTCATGGGGTGGTTTGGGTTGGGAGGGGCATTAAAGATCATCTGTTTCCCCATCCTGTCACGGGCAGGGCCACCTTCCACAAGACCAGGTCGCTCAGGGCCCCATCCAGCCAGGCCTTGAACACTTCGAGGGATGGGGCATCCACAGGTTCCCACAGGGACCAGGTCCTCGGTACAGCCTGGTGCCGGTCAGTGGTGTGAACGTCATGCCCTGAGCTGAGGAGCTGTGCCCATACAACAGGCTGTGTGGATGGGGACCTTTGCCACTTGTGCAGCAAGAGGATACGTAATGCCAGCAGAGCTTCTTGTTTGTGCTGTGGACTCCTGTCTGTCTGTCCCCAGTAGCTAGACCATCAGAATATTTTCTGAGTGCTGGAGAGAAGTGTTCTTGGCATGAAAAAGGAGATGGAGAAAAGGTCACTTTAAAAGGAGTTTTAAAAACAGCCTTTGCAATAGCTACTTAGAAATAACATTGGAGTTGCCAGCTGCAGTCAGTCCATCAAAGCTTGTTGTATCTTGCAAGAGCAGTACACATCATATATTTTAAAATTCTGTTTAGTAGAATAATTTAATGTAAATTATTGTTTAATGTTATACATGTGATTGTCTAGAACCTGTGTGTATAGACACACATGAAATGAGTATTAAGAGTGTAAATTTGATCCCTCCATCCAGTATATAGTTAACAGGGAATGGGCATCAGGAGCAGGTGTTTTGCTGGTAAACTGAGCATGCTTGACCAGTTTACTAGCAGGTAAGTCTTGTGAGCGTTTGTTACTTTCACTGAAAGTGAAAGGCAGGAAACTTTGGGTTTGTTTTTCCCTTTCAAGTTGTTATTTGTATCACTGCTGTGTTTGAATCATTGCTACTTAGTAGCTGCAGCATTGATACTTAGTAGCTGCAGCTAAAAAGTGAAATTGCTCTGGCCCCAGAAAAGTGCACAAAGCAAAAAGTGAAAGTAAACTGAGAAATGGGGAAGGTAATTTTCTCCCTGGTATTTTGTTCCCGAGTCTCCCAGGGACAGAGCTGTGGCAGCTCTCGTTGCTGTTTGGGCAGTTAAGGGGTCTGGCTGGCTGCTAACACACATTAGGTATTTTTATTGTAGCTTTCCACTGTTTCCATGGTGGAAAATGTTGGTTTAGACTCATCAAATATCAGACTGCAAAGCCTTGAGTGCCTCTGTTGTTCTTTCAGGTACTGCACTCCCCGGTACACGGACTTTGAAGACCTTGAGCGAAAGTACTGGAAAAACCTTACATTCAATGCCCCCATCTACGGGGCCGACGTTAACGGCACGCTTTACGACAAGGTGAGCAAACTGCTTGGCTTTTCGGGTAACAGTTATCCTGGGACATTGCATTCCATGAATACTAATGTAGCATTTGACTCTTTCCTTTTGGAAGGAGTTAATGATAGTTTTAGCGTAGTTCCAGCTCCTGGAGTAGGCAAGAACACAACAAACCACGTGTTTATAACATACTCTCCATTTAAGCCAGGTAGTTAAAGAAGGCTAACAGAGGTAGCGTTCCAAGAGACCTTTGCTCACACTTCAGTGTAACATAGTTTAGTTCAGGAAGGCAGAAACCACTGTTGCCCAAGTGTTGCTTTGTCCCAAAGGGCTTATGAGAGCTGGAAGTGTTGATCAGTGGATGCACGCTGCTTTAGTATTCACTGGTGCGTGTGTTTGTGTGGGACAGCTCTGTAGCCATTATGTGGTAGGATGATAAACGTCAAAAAAGAGTTTGCATTCAGCTTGCTTGTCTCCTAAATTACCATGATTCACTATTTTAAAAGATGTTTGGAATGAAAAGTGGTTTTGTTCAAGAGGGTTCAGACATCAGCTCAAGCTCAATCAACATCAGCTATTGTTCTCTGCTCTGTTAAGTTTGTAGCTTTGTGATTATTTTTCCTTCCCAATCACTGTGTTTGCTGGTAACCTTTTCCCCTCCATAAAGGCTAGTAAGCAATCAGTATGTAAGCTACACCATGCAGAACTTTTAGTTCAGGTGAACTGTCATCTCACAGCTTGAGCTGTGTGATTCTGTGATGTGCTGTTTCACAAGTGCCTGTTAGCTTTTGCAACTGTCATCTCAGTTGTGTGGGTCTGTTCTTTGTAAACCTTGTTTGACACGAGGCTCATGTTTTACAGCATGTAGATGCGTGGAATATTGGCAGATTGAACACAATCCTGGATATTGTGGAGAATGAAAGCGGCATAACCATTGAAGGAGTGAATACTCCTTACCTGTATTTTGGCATGTGGAAAACTTCCTTTGCCTGGCACACCGAGGACATGGATCTCTACAGTATTAACTACTTGCATTTTGGGGAACCCAAGTCATGGTAAGATCTTCTAGGGAAGCTTCTAAATGTAGAAGAGCAACACCATAAAATATTGGAGTCAAAATCATGAAGTTGTGAGAGTTCACTAAAGTAATTACCATTTCTCCAGCTTTGCACTGCAGAGGTATCTGATAACGAGAACACTAGAAACCTGTAGGGAACTGCAAAGCAGCGCATGTCCTCGGTAGAATTTGGTTGGTAACCTTCTGTAAGAACTGTTTGCTGTCCTGATGAAGAGAGTTCTTCAGAATTACAGTGCAGTGTGGATGTTCTCTGCTGCAGTAGGACCAAAGCTTGGAAAACTTGCTTGTTATTTCCTGAGGCTCTAAAATGACTGTACAGAGGTATGGTCATGCAGGCACTGAGGGAACAGGCAATTTTTAATGGACTTTGAAATGTAGCTGTTTGTCAGATCTAAAAAGCAGGCCAGTGGATCTCACTGAGTGGTTCATCCAGCTTTCATGATTCTTAGGGGAGGCTCCTGAAATTTTCTGTAACATGGGTTGCTTTTCAAGAGTGAATCATGCCGTTCTGTTCACAAATTAATCTCTCAAATAACTTCACAAATTGTTTCCATGGCACTTTTGTTGGAAACTAATATTTTTGGCTGCCTTTTAATACAACTTTGAAGTAAAAAATAATAGCTAGCACCATGTGACCAGTGAACAACCCCATGCAGTGGGAGTAGCAGGGGAACATGAAACAGAATAGTTCAGTTTGTTGAACTATTTGGCCATTGCTTCTTTTACAGTAGTACTTGAAAGAAGTGAGCTTTGCTGGTGTCTTAGTTTGATTGATTTATTAAGGAGCTCCATGAAGAATATAGCACTGTATTCCAGAGCAAAAGGAAACTTAAGTAGTTGGCTTTATTTACTGTAGTCAAACCAGCTAGGAATTTTGTGGTATAAAAACCATAAAAAAGTGTGTACAAAGAGAGGCATAGCCCTGAAGAGCACTCTGCCTGTTGTGCACGTGTTAAGGATGAGGCATCTGACTTAATCTCATCTTGGTCTGAGCAGCTGAAAGAGGTGATTCCATTTTCTCTCTTGCTCTGTGTTCCTCCTTGCACTGAGTGTACTGGCGATTGCACAGCTGTGAACTGAGACAGTTCAGGAAGTGCTCTTCCCTTTCTCGTTGCAATTCATGTTTTGCTGCAGCAATCTGTTCATTGCGTACATCAGACATTTCACTTCCTTAACTGCTTGAGCAAAACTCAGTCAAAGAGATGGTCAGCTTTTTGGTTTTTCTTGGGATAGAAAGGTAAAAGGCCTTGATGAAGATTTCCAGCTTTTTATCATCCAACTTTAAAAAAGACAGTGTAGAGATAGAGGATTTATTTTTGTAAGTAATTCAGGCCTTGATGCCTGATTGTGAATTCCAGTCAAACTTTGGGATTTTGCCGTGTCACCTGAACTTAACAGACTTGTTCTTACCACTGCAGGTACTCGATCCCTCCAGAGCATGGGAAGCGACTCGAGAGACTTGCAAAAGGTAATCGGGCAGTTTATGTCCTGCCTCTTTTTGAAAGGTGGGAAGTCTCACAACAAGTTTCAGCTCTTTTAGAGCACAACATGCCTGTAATATCCACCAGAGCACAGGCTGGCATGACTGAAGTGATAATTTGCCTTTCAGAATATAGATTACGTTACTTCTGGGTAATTGTTTATAGGATACACACAAGAGAAATGTCACATTAGAAATAATGAATTTATGGTCTGTCTAGCCTTTAATAAGAAAATCCTTACCTATTGATGATTAAAAGTGGAAGTTTATGGCCAAGGGAAGATCCCTCTATGTAAGGTCTTTCTTATGCTCATTCAAACTGGCAGCTGTTAAAATAAATCTTGAGGAGTTGCCATTTTTCTTCAGAATGCAAGCTAGCACACTTCAAATAAGGTGGTCCACACTTGTAGATCTAGGGAAAAACCCTGTTTAGACAGTAACTTTTCCTAAAATCTGCTGAAAAATAAATTTGCTTCACAGCACAATGGTAACATCTCTCCTTGCCTTCCTTTTAAACAGGTTTCTTTCCAGGAAGCGCCCAGAGCTGTGAAGCATTTCTCCGTCACAAGATGACCCTCATCTCTCCATCAATTCTGAAGAAATACGGCATTCCATTTGATAAGGTGTAGAAAAGTAATCATGGTTATACCAGCTCGGTCAAGAGGTTCCTGCAGCCCTGTCTCATTTCTAGCAGCAGCCAGTAGCAGATGCTTAGAGAGGAAAATGTAAACAGGAAGGGTATAAGGCAAATTTTTCCCACTGTACTTCCATTTATCTGGCAGTTGGGGCCTGAAAGAGTTTGAAACCAGAAAATCTGTCAAGGACTACTAAAAACAAAAGCTTGGTTTTCCATAATTTTATTTTTTTTTCCTACCTTAAAACCATACACTACATCCTGTGTTAGATTAACTTCACTGCTTAGCTATGCATTCAGTGAAGTGAGATTGTCCTTTTTATGTTTCAGACTTGTCCCCTGCTGGTTTTGTTTGTTGCAGTCCACTTCCTCAACAGAAAATAAGGCTTGTTCCCTGTTAATTTTTTAATTACATTAATAACTTTATAGATTTCCTTTCTCTGGTGATGATCTGCCATTCTCTCTTCTCCACATAGAAATATGGAAGATCTAATCTTTGAGTTCTTAAAGTAATGTCACATCTTCATGGGTAACTGTAGGGTTTTGTTGTCATAAGCCTTTAGACAGTGGGGAAATGTTGAAGAGCAGCAGTGGAAGGCTGACTGAGAGTTGTACTCGAATATGAACAGCAAAACAAACAGCAGTAAATTTCCAAGTTCTTTGTGGATAAAAATTTACTTGATCTTAGATACTGTTCAGCCAAGCCAGCAACTGATACAGAGAGGTACCTTTATGACCTTCAGTAGCTGGTCACAGAGTATTTTGTATGTGTAACCATTTCTGTGCTATTTTGACCAGTTAAGTTGTGTTTTAGTAAAAAAACCCATATTGAGTGTGGCTTTTCCGTAAACAGATATTTAACATAAGGATGCAAATAGTGAGGGTAAGCATCAAGTCTGTCCATTGCAGCAGGTAGCTCCAGCCACCATCTGTGAGCAGGGTTTTTGGATATGCTGCAGAGGGGTATGGGAGCTGCTTTTAGTCATATTCACCAAGTAGATTAAGTTGTGAATAACACTGTGGTGTCTCAATCATCTTCCAGGTGACGCAGGAGGCTGGGGAGTTCATGATCACCTTCCCTTACAGCTATCACGCTGGCTTTAATCACGGCTTTAACTGTGCTGAATCCACCAACTTCGCTACTCTTCGGTGGATCGAGTATGGGAAGCAGTCGGTGCTGGTGAGTGGTTTGTGGCCATCCTCTGGCATACAATTCTGTGCGTGAAAGAAAGGATGCTGTGCTTGCTCATTAAACCCCCACTGTTTGTTCTGAGAGAGTGATGTCAGGGCTTTGTCCATGTAAGATGCGATGTTTGCTTTCTCATATGGTAGCAATGCCCAGCCCTGCTCTGTGCCTTTGTTTCAAATGTGGATAGCATGAAATGTGTTTTGTAACTTTGTGCAGATCAAGTGAGGCTTCAGAGAAAAGCAGGGGACTTGTCTTTCCAGAGATGAAAGGGTTTGTTTGATAGGGCTCATCACTACTTTTGTCTAATATTTTAACCATTACTTAGTGACTGCTTAGCCTGGAAATATGACTTTGGTAACTTAAGTGACTTACCAAAATAAATATCTTGGCTGAACATTTAGCCTGGATAATGTTAAATCCCTGTAGAGATGCCTTACAAATAAGTTATATTTTCAGAAGCTACACTGAAGTGAATGCTTTGAAGCAGTGGTTGTAACTGTCCTGGATGAGGGGAACCTCTACTGCTCTGGATAGGCCCAGAGTTTGTGTTGCTCTGATTTCTTCATTACAGTCTCTGGTTTTGCTGCCTGTTTTTGTATAAGCTCATTTTAAAACAGTCAGCTTCTACCAGCAACTCTGTAAATAGACCGGTGAGCTTTCTTTCTTAGTTATTGGGATAACATTTGGTTTTCTGCTTTGTCTTTTTTGCTGGCTTTTCTGCCCAGTTTTTACTAACTTAATATATACCCTTTTGATTTCCTGGGAAAATCTTGAGTGAGAGTTCTGAGGCTCAATTACATGTAAGTGTGGGATTTTTTTTTTTTTCCTAAGCTCCCAAAAGCAAAGTGATACAGGAATTCAGAGTAGAATTGTTGAGAATGTGGCCTTACTTTAGTATTTTCTGTGACTTCAGTGCTCATGTCGGAAGGACATGGTGAAGATCTCCATGGATGTGTTTGTGAGGAAGTACCAGCCAGATCGTTACAAGCTTTGGAAGGCTGGGAAGGACGTGACTGTCATCGACCATGCTCTTCCAACCCCAGAGGCAGCAGAGTTCCTGAAAGGGGATCTCATGCAAAAAGTCAAGAATGGGAAACAGTGTGCTGAGGAAATGGAAACAGAAGAGGCGTGTAAAGAGGAGGTGGATGAGGACGAGATTAAAAGGTAGTGCTTTATATAGTCCTCTGTTTTTCTGTTGGATTCTTAGAATTTGGACCCTACTGCAGTTGGAGCTGCAGTTAAGTGTTTGCCATTGTGATAGAAGAACAGTCAGACTTAGCAATAAATTTTTTCCTGGGAACAGGGTTTACTCTTAATATTTTTTACTGTTTGAGTCCACATTGATGATAGTCTGTGGTAGGCAGGAAACACACTAGCTTGGCAGGTAGTTCTTTATCTTGGGACAGACCTCTAAAGCCTGGATTGACAGGGTGCACCATGCACTGAGAGGCCAGAAACAAAAGGGGAGTGTATTGAGATCATGGGACAGTACTTGCTAGCAAATTTTGGTACAATCAGTGCTGCAAGCTGTGACATCCGTGTGCAGTTCCTGGTTGCTGGAGGTCAGCAGGCTAATCATCTTACATTTTGCAGTTTAAATCTTTTTCAGTCGGTGTCAGCTACTATTTCTAAAGCTATCTTTGGTGATGGGTTTTTTGGTTATTGTTTTGGTTTGTGTGGGGTTTTGTTCAGAGGGTTTTTTTGTTCAAGGTAAAGAATGCCTGGCTAGAGCATAGCTGCTCCATACATCATTAACATGCTGAGGAATCATCTCTAAAGATTACTCGCTCTTCTTCTGCAAAGGCAAAGAAAACACTTCAAAATAATTTGGAAACTATTTGGCTTGCCAGATGCTGTCTTTTAAAAGACTGTTCCAAACCAGGCTGTATTTTATGCATTCACACAGAAGTTCAGCACCCTTACGTGTTTGCTAACCTGGCACATGGATTTGTCTCCTGCAGCATCCCCAAGCATCGCATAGGAACAAAAAGACACAGGGTCTGCCTGGAGGTGCCTCAGGAGGTGAGTGAGAGTGAGGCCTTCCCCAAGGAGGAGCAGTATGAAGCAGATGTGGCAGAGCCTCGTGAGAGGCCTGTGAGTGAACTTGTGCAGCAAGGTGAACAAAGGCTGAAGCTTCCAGGTAACTGTGTGCCAAGCTTTTTTCCTGGTACAAGGGGATGTGGTATTATTCTTGAAGGAGAGAAGCTGCTAGAGCTGAATCTGGGGCACTCTTTCACATGATACTACTCAGTAGGATTCCTTCGTGTCCAAAAGAAGCAGGCACTAGTTTGTCAGACCCATGGCAAGCACTTCAGAAATTTACTGTCATGAGACTTAAAACATTACCATTTTCTAGCTTTTGATTTTTGCTCTTTTTATTTTGCCTGCCTGCATACAGAAATGTGTCTGATCCCTCAGTAGTCTAAGCTCCTCTGTATCCCTGTTGAGCAACGTGACCTGTTTATGTGAATTGCTTAGTAAAACATATACACACTTCCTGGTAGTGTGGGTCTGGTATGCTGTAGAGGTGTGTTAATTGTAATAAGTAGGCTGGAGGAAAATTCATGTGGCTTGTAATAGGTCATTTATCCTTGCTATTATGGGAGGAGCAGGGGGCCTCTGGAACAACATAAGAGCAGGGAAAACATGTGTGATGCCTCCCTCTCATATTTTTTTTTCCAGCCCTTTGCAACTTGCATTTAATAACCTTCTACTGGTTTGTGGGTATTTATTTTTCTTCTGTTAAGAATCCCGTGACCATTTATAACCTCTTACCCACAGCATCATGTGGCCAGGAGTTGGCCTGTTTAGCTACATGCATGCCTGTATAAAGGATCATCTCTGTTTGTTTGTTCTGAACTCACTGTCTGCTGGTTTTGTTTGATATACCCTAGTTCTGGTGCTGGAAGAGGCAATGACCAGGCCTTTGTATTCTCTCCCTCACGAAGCCACCCTTGACATTATAGATGTTTGAATTAATGATCTACTCTGCATGATTTACTGTCACTTTTTTGCGTGTAGTAGTTTGCTTTCCTGTTTGGTTTTGTGCAAACAGTTGCACGAATGTTCTCTCTCTGCCCTTACTTCAGAAAAAGTCAGTATATCGTTTCTTCCAGATCGTGGGGACTCAGCTAAACTGGAAGAATTGAAAACAGTGAAGCTTGAGGAGGAAGAAGAACAAGAAGCAGCTGTACTGGATCTCTCCATTTCACATGCTTCCAATTCCTCTTCAGTGCTGCCAGTGTCAAAGCAGGGCGCAGCATCCAGCGTTCAGTCCAGCTCGCCTGCGTATTCTTGCTCCTCAGACTCTGAATCGACTGAGCTGTTGGCAAAACGAACTCTTCCTGGGCCAGCTGGGGTGTTCACAGTCCACAGCTACGCTAAGGGGGATGCCAGCGGATCCGACAGTGAACAGACTTCAGGGAAGAAAGCCAGTGCCACCGCCAGCGTGAATGAGCAGGAGCTGACAGAGGTATGGATGGCAGCAGAACTGAGAGCTGAAGGGCTGGAATTCCATGGTCAGGGATTTGCTGTGACAAAACTTCCTGTCTGTGCAGACTGCCATTTCGTCCCACAGGTGTTTGCATAGCGAGTTGCTTAGCTGTTAATGTGTTTTTAGTACCTATGGGCTTTGCTAAACAGACTTTCATCCAGATTCTTGTTTTACACTCTTTCCTCTTCTAGAAGGCAAGGAGATCCCTTGTTCTGAGAACTTCTCTAATTTAAGTGCTGTAAGGCAAAAAAAGTAGCTTGATGGTTTTGACATGGTAGTGTTACAGGCTGATTGAGGTCCTCTTGTAGTAATAGAAACCTATTTATACCTAAAATTAATATCCATTTTGATGCAGCTTTTATTGCATGTGTTTCTTTTAAAAGAGAAGAAATGATGCAACAGAAATTAGTGTTTGGGAGAACGTAAATCTCAGTGTTTAAGAACTACCAGTGAATGTTTTATTAATCAACCTAAGAGAAGAGTTAAAATCTTATCTGGCAATGTCTTTTCAGTATTTTGTTTCCCTCTTTAAATCTGTGTGTAGAGAATGGGAGGCCAATAATGCTTGTGTCCTAAAAATTCAGGAATTACAGAAATGGAATAGCAAATAGGCAAATCTGTTGGTAGTTAAGCTGAAACTAAGGAAGAGTTCTCATGGCTATTAAACTAAAGAAATTCTGTTGCATATACTGATGTGTCCGTTGCATGCCCTATACAGGGAAGAGGTGAAATTTAGAATGAGTGTGGATTGTTTTCCCCAGTGTGGTGTATTTCAAAACAATTCTTCCATTAGGTGGTAACTGGGAATGCTAATCTCCATTTCAGTGTTTCTTAGAAGTCTTGTGTCCAACTTTAGGTAGTAGGTTCATATCTACTGAGAGCCTTCCTGGGCAGTTAAAATCATTGCCTTAATTGTCATGGTTGTCAGGTTAGTAGTAATCTTGTCGGTGTGTCACTTCTTTTTACATAAGGCTAAGGGAAGAGGAAATAACTATTGCTGTAGTCTCCTTCTTCCAGTCTGTCTGGTAAGACATCAATGCAAGTAATAAGCAGAAAGGATGACAGTGTCCTTCATTTAAAATAAGACTGTTAGTTCGAGATGTCAATGAACTCTGTATTTTTTGTTGTTTTGTTTTGGTTTTTGTTTTTTTTTTACTTACAAATTTGGAATTTTTAAGTGACACACAAACTGAAGGCTTCTCCAGAATGCTTGAGACTTCTTATCACAGCTCTTCTGAGTTGAACCATTAACTTTTCCTTCTTTGTTTCTGTCTTTTACATGACTCTTTATATAAATGGACTTGCATGAAAAGCTATGCTAGGACATCTGAGAAGTGTCCATTCTACTGGCTCAACAGAGCTAGTACAGCTCTGCTTGGTTTTTCATAGCAGAAGTGCTTTGGGCACTAAAAAAAAACCCATAGCCAGTTAGAGCTGAAGTTAGGTTGTTAGAAATAAAATCGTGGAAGCACGTGCTAACTGACTGCTGAATTCTTCTCCTTGTCCAGGTAGCAAAGGAGTACATCAGCTCAGCAAAGGACAGCAAGAAGTCCAAGGGTCGTCGCCAGCCCTTGAGCAAACTCCCACGCCATCACCCACTCTTGGTTAAAGACTGCATTAGTGATGATGGTAAGTAAAGCCTGGTGCTCTCAGGGACCCTGTAGAGGGGGTGTCTGCTTCTGGGGGCAGTGTGGTGATAAATGGGAGTCAGCAAGTGACACCTTTGCATCCTAGACAAGGTGTTTGTCCCATTGCATCATTGAACTTTCTCTTGAATGGTGTCATCTTTCTTTCCTGTTCTGTTCTTTGGAAAGTTGCAACCCTGAAAGAAAAATTAAACCAGTACCAGAGACTATTGCATAATTGTGTCTGCCTTAGAGTATTCCAGTCATCGATGTAAACATTCATGATTTTTAAAAAAATTCCACTGCCACGTTGTTTGGCTGACAGCTTTAGTCTTGATATAATTTGGAGCTGGTGCTTTTCTCAGTAAACCTATCTTGTGTCTGCACGGTTGCTTGGTTAGTACAAACCTCTTAAAAAGGAGGCTGAGTTACTGGCTTCCATCACCCTCCTGTCAGTTTGATTTCTGGCAGCCTTTCATCCATCTCCATTCATAGCTTCTCGCCTTATTTAGTTCCGTTTACAAGAAGAGCATCTGTAAAAAGACACATAATCACTGAGTGAATGATCTCTTATCACAGAGGCACCAGAGCAGCTAACTCCTGAAGAAGAGGCTGAGGAGACAGAGGCGTGGGCCAAGCCACTGAGCCAGCTCTGGCAGAACCGGCCACCAAACTTTGAGGCTGAAAAAGAGTACAATCGGACCATGGCTCAGCAGTCTCCCTACTGTGCTGTTTGTATGCTCTTCCAGGCATACCAGGTATGAAAACAAGAACTGTCAATGCACAGAGAGTTTTACATATGTGGTTTTGCATGTTGCCAGTTAACAAAAGCTGCATCGATGTTCCAGTCTTCCCAAGGAATTTTTCCGGGAGAGCCCAAGTTGGGTGAACCTTCTCACACCTGTGATGGACTGGCTGTTGGTTCTTAGGAGCTCGCTCATCTGTTCAGCAGAACCTTTTGTGTTCTGTGGCTTCTGCTCAAACCACAGAATGGAGCTTGAATGTTGCTGGAGCTGACTGTAAAATCCCATTTCTGTTTTCCAGAATGGCTCCTTCACTTCTGAAGTGTTTTTTTGTTTAAAAAAAACACTTTAGGTCCACTCATACCACATGGTCTTTGGGGAGCTGGGAATAGTTGTCTGATGGAGTGTTTGACAGCTGCGTTTTGCAACTTTGAGATAGCTTGACCCTTCCCATACACTAAGCATATTCTATTCATTTGAGATCACTACATGATTATACTGGCACTAGAAACATGTTCACCACGGTTTTGGAAATTAAGACCTCAAATTTTTGTTGAATATATTCATACAGTTTCTGGTTTTCATGAAAACCATAGACTGTAGTTTCTGTTTGATCTTGCTGTTTCTGTCTGAGAGTAGGTTCTTGTTAGGACTGGAAATTCTGCATAGGAGCTGTGTGGTACACAAAAATTTCACTAGTGCTGACAGTATATAGTTAATGATTTGAGGACAGTTGAAGTTCTGTTAGCTTCTTTTTTTTTAGTTGCTGTTGAGCAGAAGACTCTTAACTGTAGGTTTTCAAATGTCTGTCTACACCAGTAGTGAAGCAGAAAGTCTTCCAAGATTTGAGCTGTGGTTAGGCTCTTTGTTCCAACTGCAGAAAGTCTATGGCAAGTCTGGAAACTCACTTCAGTTACCCATTCAAATAAAAAATTGGCACAAAATGCCAGACAAATATGCACTTTTCCTTTGGGAAGAAGAAAAGTATCTAGCTGCTTAGGGGAAAAAAAAAATCATGTTTTCTTGAACTTTGTTATAGATTTCCCCCAGTCATTTGGTCTTTTGCTTGACATGCGATGTTCAGTGTAAGTTTTACAGAACTTACAGAACTTTTAAGAACTCTGACTAAACGAGACTTGCTGAAAACGTGTCCATTTCCTTCCAACTGTGAGTGTTACATGGATTTGTTTTCCCTAGCTTTGGATGCACTGTAGGAGGGACAGTGCAGCCTCATTCTACTACTGCAATTTCTGCTAACAATAACTTTGAAAGATTAGGCAAGCTACTTCAGTGGTGGCCTGTGGTTTGGAACATTTCTGCAAAGAAAGAGATTAATTTCTGTTTAGCTGTTCAGAAGAGTAACTTGAATGGAAACATACCTCTGTAAACTTTGTATGTCTTTGGTGTTCAGTTTGACATTGGCTTAGATGAATAAATTACAAAAGATTAGCCTGAAAGTCTACTGAGCTTTGTCCTGGAAACTGCATTTTTAGTCTGCTTCTTTCCCAGAACAAATTAGTTTTAAAGCCCATTAGACATGTTCAGAGCTACTCAGAGAAAAAATAATGGAGATTGCAGTAGGTATCTCTTTGTGTGTTGGTAATCCTCCCATATTAAGGTAAGATAAATGTACAGTGGGGGATAGCAGTGTTATGATCCTCTGTATTACAAGGTGTTGCCTACAGAGCATGAGGTGGGCTTGGTGATTCCAGCTCCTCTGTCAGAAGAGATGCAGTTTGATGTGTATCTTGTTGCTCATTAGAGGGATGCAATTCAGACTTTCCATGTAGTATTTGGGTAGAAAATAATTGCATTCTGAAGCCACAGCAGCTGAGGATTTTATAAAATATATTTTCACCTAACCTACCAACTCTATAATCTTTCAGCACCTTCATCCGTTCTTTGAACTGGATTTATGTATCCGATAATGAGTGAGTAAAGATGAAGTGAGTCCATTTTACTTGTAAAACTTAAATCCCCCCCATCCATCCCTTATAGGCAGAATGTGAAGGCAGCAGCCAAAACTCTGGAGTAACTCCAGCTGCTGTGGATGGGAAGATCCGAACCAAACCCCTGATTCCTGAAATGTGCTTTACTGCAACTGGCTGCAGCACTGACCTCAATCTTTCAACTCCATACCTAGAGGAAGATGGAACCAGCGTACTCATCACCTGCAAGAACTGCCACGTCTGTGTCCATGCAAGTGAGTGCATCTGGATGTCACCCTGAACTCTGGTGTTCTCTGTGCTGAGTCTCTATGTCATAGCAGGCCTCTACCAGCTGGTTTAATGTACAAGTCCATGAAGTTGAGCCCTTATCAGAGTAGGATCTACCTGAGTGCTGGCCTATGGGATAGGCAGCTGGCTGCATGGGTAGCTTCAAATACACAGCATCATCCTGGGGCTCATTGATTTTAATTCCTGCTTGACTTCTGGGCCCAAGGGGAATGGGTTTGAGTTGAGATAAGCTTTTGAGTGAGATGTGTCTGTTCTAGGTTGTTATGGTGTATCCCCTGACAAGGCCACTGAAGACTGGATGTGCTCCCGGTGTAAAGAAAATGCCTTAGAAGAGGTAAAGTTTTTCACGGGTGGAGTATGGCACATCTTGGCTACAAAGCTAACTTCCACTGTGTTGTGGGTGTTGGGATTTTTTTAATTTTAATTTAATTTTAATTTTTAATTATCCTATGAGAAGAACCTAGAGAATGTTCAGGAGCCAGTCTATTCTGTTTCAGTGCTTTTAAACCATAATGATATCCTTTTAACCAGCACAAAGCTGCTGATTCACTTGAATCAGAGGGAAGATGTTCTGCATGAATGTGGGAATAGCTCCATTGTCTGTCTTAATTTACGGTAGCTACTATTTCTAAACCAGAAAGTAACTTGTGTTAATAATTGGGGAAGTGTGCACGTGTGAAGAAAGCAAGAACGGGATTCCCTCAAACAGCTGTAGAGACTCTAGATCAGCAGAACGGGTCAGCCTTTCAAATTGTATTTCCTCATGTTTCTCCCAGATCCTTTTACACTTCCTCAAAGGATAGAGGATATTGGCAGTTGTAAAAGGAACCCATAACAAACACATGGGACCTTCAGTGGTAGGTCTGCTTGCCTTCAAGAGACTTGGAGTCTGTATTTGTTGCCCTGAGGGCAGCAGCTTTTGAGAGCTGAAGGGCTGATCTGTACAAGGTAGTTAGCTCTATTCTGAGAGTAAAACCATTTTCTTCCTCTGGATGCGCTTGTTGAGGTGGAAGTTATGCAGCAAGTGCGGTGCTCTGGATTTCACTCTTCCAGCTAATGCTCTTTTCCTTGCTGCAGGATTGCTGTTTGTGTTCATTACGAGGAGGAGCACTACAGAGAGCCAATGATGACAAGTGAGTGTTCCAGATTTTTGTGATCTTAAGGCAGAAGCTCAATTCCCAAGTATCTGAGGGTAAGCTGGTAAATTCAGTGTCTGCATTTGGTGTAACAAAGTGACCAACACCTTTCACAGTTTGTGTTACTGGGAAGGATATGGTAAAGTGTGTTCATTGTGTTCTCATGCAGCAGTTGTCATATCTTTAGGTAATGCCTCATTCTCATTCTGTTGATAGCAGCTATTGATTGCTTTGCATTTATAGTGCAGAGGTATAACCTACCACATAAAAACAAGGTTCCCAGTGAGATAACATCTCTCAGTACCTTCTCTGCAGAGGATTTTGATTTCTCTATCTACTTTGTGGTGACAGTGGAGACAGAGGACAACCACAGCTTTAAGTAGCACAGCATATTGAAATTCAGGGTACTTCTACAGCAAAATGTGCATGCAGCTGCCTGTCCTGTGTCCTTTGGGTGTGGTGCTGTCTTCTAGCACCATGAAATAAGGGGAACTTGGCCCAGCAGTCTTTTATCCTGCAGGTACGCTGCCAGCAAAAGTCACACTAAATTGCTCTCCTGTTAAGCCTGTCAGTAGTAGATTGGAAGTATGAAGAAGTCTTGGTTTTGCCCCACGTGTGACCTGTTACTAGCAGTAGGAAGGAAGATTACACTGCTAGTTCTCAGAGGCTATTTATCGTGGTTTATATGGCAAACTTCAATAGAACTGTACTTACTTAAACTCCAGAGCATCCTCTGTTGGCCCAATATGTATTAATTCCTTCTTCCTCTCTCCTGTCCTGACAGGTGGGTTCATGTGATGTGTGCTGTGGCTGTACTGGAGGCAAAATTTGTGAACATTGCAGAACGGAGTCCTGTAGATGTTGGCAAAATCCCCCTGCAACGTTTCAGACTGGTAAGGATCGCCTGTGTTTCATCAGTGGTGGCTCCAGCCTGTTCAGAGTCTGAGGAACTTTGCCTATCCCTTCAAATCCAAGTTATCTCCTCTCCAGGCTGAACTATATAATCTGCTCTGTTCTGTGTATGGGAGATGGAAATTGTCCCTATTGCCATTTTTTTTAACCTTTCCCTGTTCTAGTATGTTATTCACGTGAAGAGCCAGCAAAAGGGGCACAGTTTTCAGTATGTGGCAAATGACATTCATCCAGTGGTGTAACGGTGATAATTTATTGTTTGTTGTTTTTCTACTCCCTGGTATTTAACTCGCTTTATTGGCTGCTCTGGAGCACTGAGATGCTTCAGTATATGAGAGGCATTCATATAACAGGTGAATGTCTTCAGGAAGAAAGCAACTGTACTTAACTCTTTTAACAGCTCAGTGTTTAGGGGCAAATTACTCTGCTTTGCATATGCTCATGCATTGCAGATAACATCCTTTTCCTGTGACAGCCCAGCAGGCCTGACCCAAGTGTAATTGAGTCACTGGTGGTAGTGATAGAATTTTAACTGTTACTTCTGTGGTCTTTGTCCATTATTCTAAATCATGTTGCTTGTATTTATGTAACTTAACAGTCAAGTGCTGAAAGGCCCTATTGAGCTGGAGCATTGATTTAATCTAAGTTCTCCTGTTGCTAGCATCCTTGGGTCACATGCTTTGTGCATGTTGAGCTGGTAGATATTTAATTCACGTTTTTCATCTGTTGGGTTAGTTTACTTTTATGAAGTATTTTCTGGTAGACAATAGGACTGGTAGCTACCCACTTCTGTTTAGTCAGAAGGCAGCAGTGCTCTCACAAAGACTAAATGGCACAGCTATTATATTATTAGCTGTTATAACTAGGCCAGCTAGCCCTTTGTGTAGAGCAAAAGCTAGTGCCAACCAATAACTTCTGATTTCCTGTCCACAGAAATGCATCTTCTGCAAGAAGAGGAGAAAGAGAATCGCAGGTTGCTGTGTACAGTGCTCACATGGTCGATGTCCCACGTCCTTTCATGTCAGCTGTGCCCAAGCAGCAGGAGTCATGATGCAGCCTGATGACTGGCCATTTGTTGTCTTCATTACCTGCTTCAGGCATAAGACTCCATCTCAGGCAGAGGTGAGTTTAGGTGTGTGATTCCCAGGATTTGAGCTGCAGATCTTGGAGGGACTGAAAAGTTTTTAGATTGTGTGGTTCCTTTGAAACTTCATTAAAGGCTTGGCTCTCTCACAGTGTTCAGTGTAATCTAATGGTGTTGGTCTTGGACTCTGATCTCAGCCTTGCTGCTGCTCTGAGTGATCTTGGTCAGGTCCTTTATTGTACTTTGGTTTGCAGCCCAGAAGGACTGAAAGCATCACATCCCTCCTGTGGCTGTTGTAGTGAGGAATAATAGTGGGGTTTATGCTGTGATACTTAATATGCAGGAGTTAGTGCTGGTACTCCAGCAGGCTGCATGAGTGGTCATAGAATTTCACATTTAAATGATTGATTAGTTTATAAAGTTCCCATGTAGCCTTTTTAACCAAAACCACAACAGTCTATTAGGGAATGTTTACTATAAAGGCCTTGCACTGCTCTGAAGAATGAGAGCCTAATTTACTAAGTAAATTAAGGAAAGCAGCATCTAACAGATTAGGCTGCAGGCTTTTGAAATTCCTGAGGCAGAATTCCTCATAAAATGCTGCTGATGGTGTTTTAAGTAAAGTAACTCACCTGAACTAAAATGTTTTGCTGTGTTGTGTGCCAGCACTGGAGCTATGGTCCTCAACATGTTCTTTATTGAGTCAATGAGTAAAAAGTGATTTTTCTCTTCTCAGCGAGCCAAGGCTGCACTCCAGGATCTGTCACCTGGACAGATAGTCATCAGCAAGCACAAGAATGGTCGCTTCTATCAGTGTGAAGTGGTCAGCCTTGCAAAGGAGACTTTCTACGAGGTCAACTTTGATGATGGCTCCTTCAGTGATAACCTGTACCCAGAGGACATTGTGGTACGTTATACAGTGACATATTCTGGTACAGGGCCCATCATGAGTCCATTCTTGCTGCTGCAGAGAAGACACATCAGGGGATTTGCTGGCTGAGATGTGCTGCAGGATGGCCCTAGGGGTGTTATCTGAGACAGACTTAACTGAGGGCACATAGGGACGGGTGTGACAGGGAGTGCAGCTGATCTCTGGCTGCCTAGCAGTGGTGGGTCTGAAGGAAAACTTGCAGATACTTGCTTACCATTCCTACATCAAATACTCTGCAGTTGGTACCACTGTTGGGATTTAAGTGCAGGTGACACCGATGGATGTCTTTCGGCCTAGTTTGCCATCCCTAAAATGGAGTAATAGTTGGGGTGGTGTGCAGTGTGACTCCCTGGTGGTTTGGGAATCTTCACATGAGGAAGCTGTTTATCCTTCTCCTCCTCTCTCCCATCTTCCCTCTTTATTCTAGAGTCGAGACTGTCTTCAGTTGGGTCCTCCTGCTGAAGGGGAAGTCGTGCAGGTGAGATGGACAGATGGACAAGTTTATGGAGCAAAGTTTGTCGCATCACATGCCATCCAGATGTACCAGGTACAGAACTGTTGTCTGAAAATTCCTCGCTCAGAACAAGCCAGTCATGTTAACAGGGCTGCTTTTAAAGCTGGCAGAGCTATAGGGGAGTCATGCTTAAACACTCCAGGGGAAGTTGCTCGCTGTTGTCAGCAATGCCAGATGCTGGTAACAGTTTCTGGAGTTAAGAGCCAAGTGGTTGCTTGCAGCTGTGCTTATGTCCAGCTACCTGCTTCTGAAAATTGCTCCTCTGCAATTCTTCATCAGACTCTTTTCCTGTAGCTTAAACTACTTAAAATAAGTTTGGTTTTGCTTCTCTCTGTTTAGTGAGATGCACCGTGCCTTGCCCCTTCCAAAGGGATGAATTTTCAGGCTGTATTAAAGTGACCAGCCAAACTGTCTTGTCAGCTGTTAAAAGAATATCCCCAAACTTGCTGGGCTGCTTTTATTATCATAAGATTGGCGAGGTTTTGGTTAAAGTCTGTTGCAGTGTGCATAGCTGCATACGTATCTTTTATAATTTCTAGTGGTAGAAGATTATTTCATGAGAGCCCTCTCTGGGGAGGAGTAGGCAAGTTCTGGGGAGCTGTGGGAGGGTTCTAACTTCTGACACTTATGGCAGCACAACTTCTGGTTGTCTACTAGGTGGAATTTGAAGATGGTTCACAGTTGATGGTGAAAAGGGATGATGTATATACTCTTGAAGAGGAGCTTCCTAAGAGAGTGAAATCAAGGCTGGTAGGTACAAGGGATGCAAACTTCTACTAAAGAAGTTCATTTAACTTAATTTGTCCTTGAACAGCGAGCTGAGCTTCAATGGAACTTCATAAGTTCCATGGTCTGCTCCCATTGCAAAGAATGGCCAAGTTCCTTCACTTAGATTTTGTTCTGAAATGCTCTTAGTAGGGTGGCAGCAAGACAGCTGGCTGTTTTTTGAAATTTTACAGTAAATTCAAATTGTAAAGGACCTCTTCAGGTCTCCAGACACCTGTTCCAAACAGGGGTAACTTGTCAGAAAGGGTTGCTCAGGGTTCTCTCCAATTAAGTTTTGATTATCAACAAGGATGGAGATCCTAAAGCCCTTTTAGGTCCCTGTTTTGTGGTTTTACACTTCCCACTACAAAAATTGTAGTTACTAATTAAGTTTTTGATTATTAACAGAGATCCCACAGCCCTTTTAGGTTCATTTTTTTGTTGTTTTGCAGTTCCCACTACAAAAATGGCAGTTGCAGACAGCACACTGGGGTGTCTTGCTTTACAGCACAGACATTCACACCTGATGCAGATCTGTTGGCAGGCACACAGGATGTTAGAGGTTAAAGAAAGATTGTATCAAAGCTGAATCCTGGGACCAGGTGTTTAAACATGCCTGCTCCACAAAGAAGAAATTACATTAGACTGCTTGAAAATTGGAACAGGTGACTCTGTTTATTACTTTGAGAAAGTGATTCTGAACTTATATCAGGTGCTCAGTTAAATTTGAAACCTGTGAATTCTTTAGATCTCTGATTACAGTTCCCTTAAAATTATCCCCAGACTTGTAAATCCAGTTTCTTAAATATTTTTCTTCTTGTGTTTGGTCAGTTTTTGAAGGAGGCTGAACGTTCCCAAGTGTCTTGGCTTGGTTCTTTCTCACATGCAGTAGGAGGACTTGGAGGCAGGGATTTGATCTGTGCTGTAGTCACTAATTCTACCTTTTTCTCTCAGTCAATAGCTTCAGATATGCGCTTCACAGAGATCTTCGAAGAGAAGGAGGTCAGTCAAGAGAGGAAGAGGCAAAGAGTGATCAATTCACGCTACCGTGAAGATTATATTGAACCTGCCTTGTACCGGGCCATCATGGAGTAAGCGCTGCCTGTGGCAGAGGAAGAAGATGCCCACCTCCCCCGAGGATTTAAATGTTCCAGTACAACAGGCCATATTTGGATGCTTCGAATCCAGGGGTTTTATTGGGGTTTTGTTCTTTTATATTTTAAGGAAGCTAAAAAGCTGTTGCTCTGCAGTAGCTGTAAGGCAGCTGTTGGATAGTGAAAGAGATCCCATTTGCTGAAGCTGATGCCTGCAGACTCCTGGTCTGAAGTTGGGTCCTCACCAAATAAGCCGGCTTGGGGGTGTTGCTTTCATCTCGTTGAGCAGTCTTGCTTTTTCATTAGAGACAATTTTGAGAGGTGGCAAACTCTTTTGGGAGTTGTAGCCAGGAATCTTGGCAGCTGCAGAATGGTATGGTCTGTTGTTTTAACTGAATAATGTTCCTGATTTTAGGAGTCTCCCTGGTGACCACACCTGGGCTTGAGCAGGCAGTATTACTGGTGCTGGAAATGGAACCTCTTTTATACTTGTATCCATCTTTTTGTCGCAAGCAGCTTCAGTCTCTTGTTTCTCAGCGCCTCCTTTCTGAGGTTGAGCTGTAGGCTGTTCAAATCCAACCAGACAGGAGGTGCTTGTGTGAACAGGTGAAATGTGAAATTGAATCCAGTAGGACAAATTATTTAACCTTCCATTTAATATTTTTGTTCTGGTAGTGCTTTTGACTTACTTAATCATAAGTTTAACTGTATTAGTATGTGCCTCAGAACCAATCAAATCTGTCTGGAGCCCTGCGCAGTGCAGCCTTCTAACAAGAATAGATGTTCAGCTCCCAATAGACGTTCAGCTCCCAAAGAGTTTCTTCTGAGTTTCTCTAAGGCAATATGACTAAAGGGGCAGAGTCCTAGCTCTCCCTTCTTGAAATCCAAGCATCACAGGGTTGGGGATGACAGGGCTGCAGCATCTGAAGCCGTGCAGTCCCTGTTCTGGGGCAGCACTGTCTGTCGTGTGCCCGCAGGCTTTTGCTTGCAGCAGCTAAGAGTGGGTCTGAGACAGATAAAGCATGCACTGAGCTGTGTGTTACTGAAAGGCTGTGCACTGCTCTCCTGAAGCAAGAGTGCTGCCCTGTCGCTGTCTGGCAAAGGTTACTGTAGCATTTTTATAGAGTGTTAGTAGGACACATCTCGGTTGTGTTGGAGAGAACTTGCTACCCCAGCAGCAGGAAGCTGAGTTGAGCTGGGTAATTGGTGTGTGCTCGGAAGATGTGCCAACTTGCTCCTAGTGATTTAAGCATTAACAGGACACAGTCGGAGCAGTGTAAATACCTGTTCCTTTCCCATTCTGTAGGAGAGGGATTTTAGGCTGTGGAGCAGATTGGCCACCTTGTTTTTGCATGGAACGATGGGGTGAATTTTCCTACTGGAGAAAATCATGATTGCGTGTTCTCCAGAAAACGTTCAAGAGGAGAATTTTCTAATGAAACAGACCTAATGCATCCCTGCTTCTATAGGGACGTGGCAATGTGTCTGCAAAGTCTGAATTTGTAACTTTTTTCCTTTTGGTACATAGGATTGCTATAAACCAAACTCTTCTGAAACCCCGGTGCATCGACTTGTGATTAGCAATAAAATGTAGTATTGACTAGTGATACAACTCTTGATCAGAAAAGAAATAAACTACCACTTTTATACAGAAAATCTTACTCAGCCCTACATTTTTATAGGGTCAGGAGGCCGATATAAGTAGCAAAGATTTGCACAATCACTGTTTTGCATAGAGGTAATCTGTCCTGTTTTTGTGGTGGAATACCTCGTTCATCAGTATTGGAAGGCTTAAACATTCTGAAAGGACATAGTGGCTCGCTTTTGTGATTTTTGGTTGGTTTGTTGGTTGGGTTTTTTTTTTTTTTCTTTTTCCCATGTCCAAAACTCCTGGTCTCAGGGTATAAAATGGTATTCTGATGAATGGGATAGCTGGCTTGAGAAAACCAGGATCTGTTAAGACTGGAGTCTGGTAGCTGCAGTTACTCTGGTCCAGGCAATAGGAATGAAATTGCACTTTGACATCCTGAGCTTTCACATGAGCCTCTGAAGTGATGTGCTGTGAGCAAACATGGAGAGGAGCTGGCAGGGCCTTAACAAACTTGCCTCTGTTCTGTCAGAGTTAATTTGGTATTAACCTCTCACAGGCTGGACACTACCTGTGCGTTACTGAAAAACATACTCTTTGTATCAATCTGCCATATAACTTAAATGCACCTTTTAGGTGCCACACATGCCACCTGTGCTGCAAACACCTGGCTCTACACCTTCATCCTGAAATGATGACCTAGATATGAAACTGCTGGATTTGTTCTCAGAGCTTTCCTGGGTAGGGCCAGGAGTTGGATTTTATTGATCCTTAGGGTCCTTTCCAAATCAGGATATTCTATTCTTCATTCACCTGCAGCAGGTTTTGCCATCCCCCTCTGACAGTATTGAGTGACTTTCAAGAGCTCCTGTGTGTGGTGTTTGTTCTGGAACAGGAGTTATTGTTACCTGTTTTCTGCAGGCTCCAGATTTGCTCCTGTCAGTTGACTGCACTGTGTTGGAAACCGCTGCCATCCTGCACTCTGAGACAAAGGGCCTTCCCAATTCTCCTGTAAATCCTTGTGCTGCATCATTCAAATGGGAGCATATTGTACCTACTGCAGTGAGTAAACTGCATTTTGGCTTCTCTCCATGAACTTAAAATTGGTGACCCTGATGTGGGAGGGGTCTGTATTGTTTGACTTAGCAAAAGCAATTGGGTTTATGGCTTGAAGTATAACAGGTAGCAATAAAAGCTCTGTACAGAGCAGCTGTCTCAAAGGTACATAGGCTTTCCATTACCTAGACTTTTATCGTGTCTGATAATTTTCTCCAGTTTGCTTTTTTTTTTTCTCTTTTGGAAGTGTTTTTATCCCTGTTAACAGCATCATTCCAGTGAGGGTGAGATGCTGCCAGATTATCAGCTAGGCAGGTGTTTCTTGAATGTGTTCAGTACAAAACCATGCTCAGTGTGCCCCACAGGAGCTCTGGTGGCCCTTTGTTAGGTCCATTGCATGTGGTACTGCAGGCAGTAGACCATTACTTCACTTTCCATGGAGCTTCCATCTGTGACTGGTTCAGGTTGGACTCACAGGAAGCATTTTTTTGTATAAACATAACAGTGGCTTGCCCTTAATTCAGGATGAGCTTCTCAAGCCAGTGACAACTTTTCATAAGATTTAAAAAGGTGACTCTGTTCTTTGTAAAGCATCTGATTGCAGTAATGTTTCTGCCTGTGGCTGGACTTCTAGGAGACCTCTTTTCCATCAGCAGACCCCTCAGATGACTAGGGGCAGTATGTCAGTAGTAGGACCCATTCTCCTTGCTCCTCCTCTCTCTTCCCAGTGTTTTGAGCTGGGTTGAATTGATTCTGCACTGTTTAAGGAGCATAGTCACATATCCCAAGGCTTCCAATGCATCTCTGTTCTTCCATCCTTTAACTGGGCTCCCGTTGTCTGACATGTCTGCAGTTGTGCTTGTTTTTTTAATGCAAACATGGGATGAAATCAAGACTCTGGTAGCCTGTATGTTGTTTTCAGTTTCCTCAAATAATAAATCTAATTTCAAAACGGACAATCTGTAAACTAATTTAAGAACTAAAGCATTGTAACTTGGAAATTCTCATCATGCTTCTAATTTTTCTATTAGCATTATTGATTTCTAATGCTCATCTCCTTCATGCTTATCCTTATGAGTTCTTGAGTGTCTTTCAGAGGCCTAAGTGGAGTTCTGTTATTTAAGGACTCAGTCCAGCCTGGCTGTTCATGTCTGTTCAAGCAGAACAGGGATGGAACCACAGAGTCATCTCTCCTGATTGAGACACAGAGCTGAGACATCTGCAGCAAGAGCTGAGTTGCCTTAGGTTCCCTCTGTAGCTGAGAGTGCCAGGGAAGGCGTCATCAGGAAATCTTACCTGGGTGCAGTCTCAAACAGCTCTCCTCTTTACTGTGGTGTTGGCTCTTGAATTTCACAGTGCTGGTTAAGACTTGCTGAACTGGCAGTCAGGGAAAGGAGATTCTTCTACCTTAGCTCAGGGATTTTTGTTACTGATACACCAAGTGACCTTGAGGAATTTGCTTATTCACTGTAGTGTTAACTCAGCCCATATCTTCGAAGCCTAAAGTGCCAGGTATTGCTGGAGCCAGCTTTTATAGTTTGGGGAAAATGGTAATGTATCCTTTTCACTGACAAATTTGTAGATTCTGCACAGAACCTTTCAGTGTGTGCACTTAGGTTAGTGTTAAGTGTGTAGTATTTTCAGTTGAACATGAACAACGTGGGGTATTGCTAAAAGGCAAAATAAGCCTTCTTCCTCTTTTCCCATAATCGTTCTTCATTTTTCTACACTGCTGTTAGAGCTGTTGAGCAGCTTTAGATTTGTCTCTCAGATGACAAGAATGCAACTCTTCAGGTGGGGTTTGTTGCTTGGTTCCAGTGATGAGCATAGCTGAGGGCGTGTATCTGCATTTTCGTTTGACCTCACCAGAATGTTCTCCAGAGGAATGGTAAACATTCACCTGATTGCTATCTTTTGAGGAACCTGTGGCAGATCCACGCACAAACATTGCCACAGCCTCCTTGCATGACTAATGTGACAACACCGAAATCAAAGCCATTTTGACAGCACCCAGCGAACGAGGGAAATGTGTGGGAAGGTACTGGAAAAAGATTTAAATGGTGTAGTATGGTATGTTAATTTCTAAACAAAACTGTGTGAGGTAAGAGAGACATGGGGATCAGATGGTTGTGAATGTGAGCTGATGGCCTTGGACTCTCATTTCCTCAAGTGCTACTGCTTCTCTTGAATACAGCACCTTTTGAGGTAAATTTTCTTGCCTATCCTCGCAGCAGGGGTTAACTCAAACTTCATTCCTGATAGCCACAAGGAATTAAAAAGAAGTGAGAGTATCCTGGGTGCAGCCCATGGATGTCTTAGGGGTGGGTGGTAGGTGCTGACCAGGTGCAGGTGCAGAGGAGCTATTGACTTGCATCCAGTTCCATGGTGTGATCCAGGAGAGAAAGGAAACTGGCAGTGAGGAGCAGCTCCACCGAAGGGCTGAGCAGCCTGTGTGGTTGGAGCTGCAGTTGCCTGTGGTGGATGGCTGCCCAGGCCGCTTGGCTCTGCAGCAGGAATGCAGCTTTGCTTGCTCAGGCCCAGCAGAGCCAGGGCAGGATGAAGAGAGCAGTTGTGTTGGCAGCCAGAGATGGGTCTGTCATGAGTCCTCTCTGGCTTCCCCAGTTCCAGCTGGATAGATGTTTCCAAACACCATTTAACAGCTGGTGTCCACAGGGACTGGCAGGAGTGTTAAGGCTTTTATTCTGCCGCTCTCCCTTGCATAGGGAGCACAGGCATCCTGCTTGAACCCTCAGCCATCCGTGCAGTGGGGCTGGGGCCAACCCTGCTCTTCCTCACTGGCTGGAGATGAAGGCTCCTCAGGGATCACTGTGGGAGCAGGGGGCTGCGGGGCTGTCACCACCAGGGAGACCCCCAAGTTGGCCCCTCAGCACTGTGCAGAGCCTGGCAAGGGGAGAGGGACAGAAAAAGAGGCATTGGCTCTTCTCCCTCCCAGCCCAAGCGGTTGAGGGGCTGCCAAGGGCTTTGCAGCGGGGAGAAGAAAGGCAGCGTTCATGGGAGCTGCGTGACTCCGAGCTGCTGGGCCAGGAGCCAGGCACGTCAGCACCTGATGGGCCAGCTTGGGGAAGGGCTTCTTGCTCCTCACCTACAGAGGAGCCCTTTGAAGGGGTCGCAGTGTAGTGAGGTCTCTCCTGCCCCACTGCCCTGCCTGTTCTGGGCTGGGCTGCTGCCTGTGTGAGGCATCACACTGGCTCTTTCCCTGGGAGCCTGGCTCCTGCACTGCTGCCCTGGACAATGCTGGCTGAGACAGCTGCCCAGGGTCCCTCCTGCCTGCCTGTGTCCTCCTGCTTCTGTCAACTTGTGGGGGCAGCCCTGGGGGACCTGGATCAGTCCTCTGCCCATCTGTGCAGACTGCAAACAAGCAGCCTCCCTCCAGCTGTGTGCTGGCTCTGTGGAGGCTGAACGGATTGTTCCCAGTGAGAGGTGCAGGGCTGGACAGTCATCAGCTCTCACAGCAGATCCTCCCCCCTTATGCAGGCAGGTTGGAGCCTGCCTGGAAAATCCTTCCTCCAGAAGCCACTGGACAGAAGAGTCCTTGTGCAGCCTTTTGGAGGGGTGCCTGGTACCTGCTGAGGGAGACTTTCCCCTTCCCAGTGAACAGATGCCTGCCTATGGCCGGGCCATATGGTGTTTTGGTCTCACCTTCTCCCAGCACAACCTGTCCTCCAGCCCTACAAGCAGGTGAGATTGCTCAGGGCTCTGCTCTCTGGAGACAGCTCCCCACAGGCTCTGGGAACTGCCAAGGGTCTGGTGTGGGAAGAGGTGTGACAGGTCTGTGCCTGGAGTGTGTCCCTGTGGGAAGTGCTGCCCTGTCAGCGTGGCCTTGGCCCTGTGTCACCATTCCAGGAGAGGTTTGGCTGTGCAAAGGAAAGCATAGCAACGGTGGGGTGAGTAGATGAGTAGATGGCACTTCACATTTGGGGTCAAGGATGCTTGTGACAATTGTGGGGACACCACTCAGGCTGGGATGAAATCTGGTTCTGCCTGCCAGCCG